GCATCACATTACTGTGAACTCCTTGGAGGTGTTCCTGGATTGTTGTGAAAGGTTTAGCCAATCAGTGGATGGAAGGCCATCCAAATCATGTAGACTTCCACCGAGATATCTCTGTTGTCATGAATTTTCGTCTGAAATGACTGAACTTCGTGTAGAGAACTCCTATCGTCTTGATTAGACTTTCAAGTTGCATTTGATATCATACATCGCTGAATGATGTGGAAAATCGTAAAATGCATTACGGGGTAAGTGATCGCATCCTTTCCATTTAGGAAGAGATGAATGTAAGACCGTTTCTGCTTTTTAGGTCAGAGGAGAGTTATTTGACTGTTTCCCTATTGACTTTGAAGTTTGCCAAATAGACGAATCGGATTGGTCATTGCTATTCTACATTGTACTCGATTTTTTTTGTTTAAAATACTGCTGATCCTGGTAAAAACTTTTTTATTCCAAAGGGGGACAGTTCAAAATATCCGGTTAGATATATCTTACTTACCCGATGTGCATAGATCATATGGCAGATATTACGATAAGTTGACTTTTTCATCTGACAGATTTCGTGTGCAATAGCCGCAAAATTCAGAAGCTACAAAGAACCCAGGTCCGAATGCTGACCGGCTAACTGAAACAGTCGAGGCGATCCACCAGTTTCAGTGCGCGAATCGCATTATCGCTATCAACTGATCCACACAGACAGTTAAATAGGATTATTGTGTTTTCATTTACTACTTATTCAAAATCTTGGTTTAAAGGGAATATCCATATGAGTAACAATCTTCTGAAGATTATTCTCTTTCAGGTATTTGTTTGTATGCGGCCTAAAAAAACTTGGTTATGACGTAAAGCTCATAGCGATTGTTCAACACCGTGCATTACCCTGACTTTAATGAGCGTTAAATAACGAAGTGATGGACCATGTATAGAATTACTGTTCTGTTCCGGGATAGGTATTTTCAGTAGACGTGGAATTTAGAAAACAAGAGATTGGCTCTTTTGACACACTGGTCAAAGATCATCACTTACTGTAATTTGTGAGCCTTTCATGTGAGAAGCAAAATTTGACAAATTTCGTCTAGGAGGTCAAAATTAGTATGTTAAAGCAAGATTTTTGTTTGGAGAGGAACTGTTTTCCTGGGATGCAGATACCGGTGCTTTAAAGGATGACGCAGACCTCGCATGCCACTGTCATTCAATTTTCATGGGCAGCTTAAGATAATAATCGTGTCAAACAATATAAGAACAAAAGTATAACCAGCAGCATCATTACCACTGTATTTATAACTTTTATCCGTATCCTTTGTCGTGTGAATCACTATCATCAACGTGTATGTGGCATGTAACACAGTCGTAAGGGATCGGCTTTGAACCATTTTTTTCAGAGAACCGCAAACGTTTGTCTTAACAGCAAATGTTGTTGACGAAGGAATTTACCACACATTGCTTCTCAGCAACCAGCTGAGAAATGGGCAGAAAGTTATGGATTTGCGTAAAACAGAGACAACGTTGTATTCTGGGATGATCATAGCAGAGTGAATGATTCTTCGGGCCATGTTATGTGCTGCGAGCTTCTCATAGGGCTGCAGTTCATTTCGCTCGACCTCATATTTGCTTATTCGATGTAATGATCAGTACAGGGTCTAACTCCTGGTGCGTTATTTTGCCAGTCTCATGGCGCATGAACAGTCTTCTTAACGTCGAATAGTATAAATTGATGAAAAAATTGTTTTTAGCTTTCTCAGGGAGTTCTACTGAAGTTTTCGCCGTCTTTGATCAAGAGACGGAAAAACCATATTCATAATCTGACTTGCGGTGCGAGAATCATTTTTGGCAGCAACGGTTACGTTTTCATTTCGCCTACAATTAACGAAATTGAGGGAAACACCGGAGGTTTTGTCCAAAACCTTGACGTAAGTGCAGTTGATCGATTTTTATGATACACTCTTAAGTAATCTGAAATACGTGTAACACACAATTACGGTTTATGTGTTTGAATGAAGGAGAAAGCAGTGGTATACATATTTGTCTTTAGGGAAAAGTCTGCATAAGTTTGCTATTTTAAGCATTACCGTCATGCCAGGATATAACAAGCAGCTGGGAAATGGACACATTGATTTGTAAGCCTTATGTCCCGTACTGCATCAACAGTTCTTTCCGAAGTGCTCCCTTTAAGAGGAGTCAGCGGTTCGAGTAAACTGCCTCTACGCAGTTTCGGCGTTTGGTCAAATCTTCGGTAACTCCTGGCAGTTTCATATCATTGTTTACGATGACGTGCTATTTTTCTTTGGTCTTGCCCTTTATTTCTTTTCTGGCAGTATCAATGTTTGCACCACATTTCCAACTTACTCTTACGATCTGCTTTACATATGGTTAACCATCGAAGCCTGTCTTCAATCAGCTTTTCTGAAATTGGTTAAAAATCTCTTATTAAGGTTTTCCGGATGTGATCCTTTCGCTTACACCACATCCAACTAAGCGTTTGCGTTTCTGCAGAGTGTAGCTGTTGCTCATGTCTCTTCAGAGTAGCCAAAAATTCTGCTTCATGCAATGGTATAGGTCTTAATGTCGTTCGGTACACTTAACCCTTAACTTGGATGGCCTTCTTATCGCACAGTACTATGCTCACTTCTCTCCATTTGAGCCACGCTGTTTTCGACTGATTTCTTAATTCACTGTTGATTTCCCCAACTATCTTAAGGAATAGCGCAAACATACTTGCATTCTTGGGTTTGACACAAAAATCCTCCCAACTTTTGCTGATTCGATTCCCGTCTGTTCTCCCTATTGAAAGGACTCTCCATATACGCTATGCTTGCCTTTGGTAAGTCAGTGATGGTTTTTCTCAAGGACTCCTCTCCATGCCTCGGTTTTTGCCTTTCCAGCTTCTCTGCTGCATTATCGATATAGAGAATGGAATAAGGGGCTGCTTCATGCAGATCTTTAGTTATTGGGTCTGTCGTCAGAACAGATATGAGCTTGGTGTTGAACCTTCCGCATGTACTTCGAACTATCTTTCACTCTATCGTACATGTCTTTTGTAAGCCTAACATTTTTTTGTAATACATCAGCACTTCCAGTGAAACATTTTTTTCCTGGTTTTTTCTTTTCTGACATTTTTCTTTTGTTGAGATTAACCCCAGAGGACTTTTTTTACCGTGTTAAAAGATTTTTATTTCTTATGATCAACTGCATTGAACGAAATGTACCTGCTCACTTTGAACTGTTTTATTTATAGCCTGTTGACCGGGAACAACGGCAGGTGATCGCACGACTGCGAAACTGCATTGAAATATTGGGTCAGAATCGTGTCATGCTGTACGACACGTCTGTTGTGTGTGCCTACGATGCATCGATTGAGCATGAAGTATAAACAGTTTTCAGACTCATGGCTTTTGAGCGTCATTTTGGTTTCCATCCATAATTTATCGACAGTATTGTGCAGTCTTATGAGCTTAAGTGACTGAAAAGAAAAGAATAGGTTTTTTCCTTTTCGAATGGCTGTCTTCCGTACACTCCCATGATTTGCGCGCCTTTTATGGTACGGCGCTGATTTCCATCACGCTGTCGTCAGCCAGCAGCGCCATCTTTTCTGAGTACAGTATCTACGGTTTATCTCCTACCTGTTTTTCTCATTGCCGCATAGTGGTACAGTAAGGTAGGAATAAGTGCTGTGCTTTGTCATCAGATATACTTCGCTGTAAAGATCCATGTTTTATATGCTTATGCTAAAACATATTAGGGTTGTCGGCTAGAGAAGCATCATTCCCAAATAGGAAAGATGCGAGATGTACCCTACACTGCAAGTGCTCAGATACAATCGAGTCATGACTTATTTAAACCACCCCTGTTTTCTGACAGTTTTGTTCAAGATTGAGCAGTGCAATTTGTCGTAAAGTCCGGTTTTAGACCAGGTCAATACCCGTTTTTCTGGTTTCAGAACCGATTTACAGATGTTGCAGAACAAAATA